GTTTTAAAATGAGTTCAGTGAGTAAGAATGCTATCTCCCTTTAAAATGCATAATAGGTGACATTTGAATAAGTGTTGCACTTATTTTGAAATTACACAGTGAGATAATGCACTGGACTGCGAGGTCACTTTGAACTGTGAGGTCAGAGGTTCAAACTTACCAGCCGCTCTACAGGGTTGTTATGAATCGGAACCAACTTAATGGCACTTGACAACAACAACAATAAGTGGTTTATTCATCCTCAATTTATTTCTTCACTTAGTGAGTAAACATGTGAGACATACGCCTTTTGCAGCTTCACACAAAGTTACCTCAAACTAAAGCCATCACATTTTGAGCTACGCACTGCCTGTTTACTTGCTCAGTAGCGCCCACCTCCCATTTTGGCCCTGTGCATCACATTTTGATGCTCATTTGTAGCTAGCTCTTCATCAGGTCGCTGTGACATGATTTCATCATATTTCAGATGAAATTTCAGATCCCTGGGGGATGCAAAGGGTTTGTACTTGATAACTAACTGAAAGGTTGGTGACTCTCATCCACTCAGCAGGGTTGAAAGGCTTAGCCATCTACTATAGAAAAGCCTGTGGGAGACAGTTCTCCTGGGAGGTTGCCATGAATCAGAGTAGACTCGAAATCAATGAATTTTTGTTGTTGTTTTGGTGGGGCTGCCCAAAGTAAGATGAGATGGGAAACAGGATATCTAGGTCTTAGTCCTAGATCTGCTTCAAACTAGTTTCATGACGTTAGGGAATTTACCTACTATTCACTGAACCACAGATTCCTCATCTCAAACATAAAATTGAGAGTAGACGATTATTTGCTCAAACCTTTTCTTTATAGAATTATCTTTTCAAACGGAATTGCTCAGAGAAAACTTTACCTCTATTATCAGGCTTTCACAAGGTCGGCAGCTTGAACTCACCAGTCACTCCTCAGACACCCAATACAGAGTTGCTATGAGTCGGAACTGACTCTACAGCACTTAACAGCAACAGCAGCAGGAAGCACGAAGGAGCGTAGTGGCTCAGTATGGTAGATAATGAATGGACTGAGAACCACAAGATTTCGCAGTTCGAGCCCACCAGTGTAGGAGAAAGATGAGGCTTTCTGCACTCGCAAAGATTTACAAGCCTCGGAAACACTATACAGGGTCACTATGAGTCGGAACTGACTCAACAACACTTAACAAAAACAGGCAGTATGACACCATAGGACTATGCGAACTAAAGTTTAAAAGCTACTGAACACAGTGAATGGATAAAAGATGTGGCAAAATAAGACAGTGGAATAAATTTTCAGCAATAAAGAGAAACATGCATGATACATTCAACATGGATGAATCTCAAGAACATGCTTGGTGAGAGAAACCAGACATAAAAGAATTCATAGTATATTATTTTATTTATAAGAAATTCTAGCAGATAAAAACTAATATATAGTGACAGAAATTAGAACAGTGGTTGTTTGAGGAATGAAGCCAAGGGAGGGGTACACTACCACATGGCACATGGACACTTTAGGAGGTGATGGCATTATTATGTATCTTGATCGTGATGGTGATTCTATGAGCCTATATGGCTGTATCTCTAGATATATGTATCATTGTTGTTGTTGTTGATAGGTGCCATCAAGTTGGTACCAACTCATAGCAACTTTATGTACATCAGAATGAAACACTGCCCGATCCTGGGCCAGCCTCACTACTGTTGCCATGCTTGAGTCCATCGATGCTACCACCTGACCAATCCATCTCATTGGGGGTAGTCCTCTTTTTCTCTGACATGTTATCTTTCTCCAGTGACTTGTCCCTCCTGACAATATGGCTGAAGTATGAGAGATGAAGTTTGGCCATCTTGGCCTCCAAGGAGCACTCTGGCTGCACTTCTTCCAAAACAGTTCTTTTGG